CCTGCACCTGCATGTCTGAGAGAACCTAGCAAGTTTTCGAAATTCAGAACAAATCCAGATTTTTTTCAATTTTTTTGTTTCTCTGTCTGTTTGTCTGTTTGTACGGGCTAATCTCCGAATCTATTGGACCGATTTAAGTGGTTTTTGCATGGTAGTACCTTATATCCCCGGACAACGTCTTAGATATTTTTATCTCGGAAAATTAAATGGTTGCCGTGGGATAGTTAAAAAGCTATTATAACTTATACAACTTTTGCACCTAATTTAGTAAAATTTAACATTCTGATACCTTATATTGCCGGTCAAACAACAGGTTGCTTTTCATCCGGGAAAAATGAACGGTTCCCGTGGGAACTAATAGATTTCTATTAGTGTTTTTCTAGAGGCGAACCCGAGCGAAGCGAGGGTGAGCCGCTAGTTTAATATAAAATGTTGGAATATTAACACAGCATCATCTAGTTCCATGGTAAGCTACGAGGGTTGTGTTATGAATACCAGATAGTTGATATACTACACATATATAACTTTAAATACATACATATTATAAATATAAACACCCATGACTGGAGTACAAACATTCGTGCTCATCACACAAATGAATGCCCCAACGGGACTCGAACCCGCGATCGCTGGAACAGCAAGTGGGGTCACTACAAACTGAGCCAAACGCGTCGTCAAGTATGCTACTGCAGTTATAAATATTTACGGAATTATAAGAAATATCTCATGATTATTATTTATCTTAAAATTAAACTTGTATTGACAGTCCTATTTTTGAATACTTCTTTCTTCTACAAAGGAAAAAGAAATGATCGCATAGCTCGATATAGCACTCAATAATGCAACAGGTTTATTAGAATGTAATAAGCTTGTAATAAGTATATCTTACATCTGAGGCGAGTCGTGACAAATGGTAACCCTGTAATTGACACACGGAGCGTTTCTCCAATATACTTTTTACTATTGCGGCCAAGTTATTGACTTAGTTTTTAAAGAAAACTAAGTAGAGTTCTTCTATGGAATGACAACTCGTCTAAATATGTTCATATACCTACTTTTGGTTTGGTAGATTTTTCTTCATCAGACAATCGCTGTTAGTCAAAGGCAAAAATATCGTATCGTTTTCGTTCAATGGAAAGAAGCCCTAAACCTTATATATATAAATTATTAGAATAGACATTTATTGCGGTATTAGTGTCTTAATAGAATTAGATTGAATTTGTTGTTTGTTTTAATTTATCTTTGAAGAAAAGTGCAGGTATTTATTTTGTTGATCATTTAAATCATTCTGTTCATTCCGTTGCGTCCCTTCCATAGCCATTCATCCTTAGTTACAATTTGATAGAGATAGATTAAAAGGTTATTTTTCATTCTGATAAAACTTAACTAACTTTTAAAGTGTCATAGACGTGATTTAAAAAAAGGAGTAAATTCCTTTATTCAATAAAAAATACTGACAGACGAATATAAAATAACGAGTATATGTCTCCTCCTTTTTGGAAGTCGGTTAAAAAAGAATGAAATTAAAATTTTACCTTTTAAATCTCATCAAATATACCTAGGTAGGTATCTTGATGTCTTAAATTTTTCACTTTTATATTTCTCACGTGTGAGGACTGTGATGTATCGCTAATTTAAGTATTTAACTATTTTATGTAGGTCTAGCAGTTATATACTCTTATATATTCTGTTCTGGGTTTCATACACTAGTCCTGTCCTGCCACGTGGCGTCCGAAGATACCAGGTAGCAAGCTGAGGACGAAAGGTAGCTTACAATAAAACAGCATAGCGGTATTTCATATTTTTATTTTTACACTTTACGTCGGTGACCGTAAACGAATTTTACTACATCGCTCCATCATTTCAATTTCAATTACACGATAGAATGGTACTAGAACATAAATATTTTTTCGTATTTATTTAAGATCAAATAGATAATCTTTTTTACACCCTAATGTAACGATATCATTTAATTTAATTTGTAATTATATTAGGCAAATACAACAAATCATAATTCACAACTTATTATTATTATAATTCTTTACGGGAGAACAATTAATCTATGAGCTAAAATCATTTCAATTACAATTTATAAATACTCGTAACAAAACTGAAGGAACTAAATATTTGATTTCTACTAAAAATAACACAATCACATATATTTTTATAAACTAAAAATACATAATTTCTTAAATTTATGTACCTATTAAATTACGTCCTTACATTTGGCTCCTGAAAATCTTCTGTTATACACTATAGGGGCAGGCGTACGAAAACATCGACTCGATAGCATGAGTACATCAGTATTCATGACTCATCGTAGAAAAAGTTAACTAAGTATATAAATCTGAACAACTAAAACAGTTATATCGCCTACAACGAAAACTAAGTGCGCATTAAATTATCAAGAATATGAGATTCCTATTGCTTAGGTATAGAAAAATAAAATAAAATATTCTCATAGTCATTCTATCCCTCGCCGCAAGCACACGTTAACAAATAACAAACTTAATTAAAACGTCTCAATTAAAACTTTAACAAAATCACTCTAATACTGTTGAATTTGTACGAATTAGGTAAAATCTATAAACCGACGACACATCGTTCGATCACAAGTCGAAAATACAAGACATACGAGTAATAACTACTTGTATAGAAAGGAAGGAGAAGATCAAACTCGGCACGAGCTTTACAATAAAACCAATGCATCTGGAAACTGCTTGCCGATACCGTAAGGTTCTTACACATTTTTGGCACATTATTGTATTATTCAATTTAATTGAAATTATATTTTGAAATTAACATTTATACCGTAAAACATCAGCGACAGCTTATTTCAATTAGGAGCTTAATTTAGCTATTTTACAAGAAAACGCAGCTTCGATAGTGCTTAATTCACAAAAAGAACATCTCGTCGATTTTATTGATAGAAGCGAAAAGAAAGTGTAGAAAAAGCAATAATTATACAATCTGTTAAAATATAGGTACATATTCAATTATACATTTCGTTAATATATAAAATCCCTGTAATGATATATTGTAAAATGACGTGACACTAGTGTGTAGACTACGGCGCGGGTGCGCGTGCGCACGACCGCTGCGGCTCAGTAAGTGACCAAGTGTGTAAGTAATGTACAATTATACAAAATAGAGTCGAAAATAGTTTTCAGTCTTCTGTTAAGAGTTATGCAGATTCGTATTGTGTATCGATGACTATAGTTAATTTAAATCCAATCTGAGCAGGCAAAGTGCCTCTTGTGATTCATTCGCGGAGACCGCCTCGATAAGTGTAATGATTCGGAAATAGATTTCTACAAAACAAGTAACTATAAATACTATTAAAGATATTTGGGAATGTTCGTAGACCGTTACGGGAAACATCATATCTTTAACACAGCTTTAACTTAGTATTGTATAACTAAATCGTATGTACACACAAACCTCACGTTCGCTCACGACCAGTGATACGTCGCGGTACTAATTCGATACGAAATAATTGTATACGATTATCTAAAGCCAGGTAGTGTTGAACCCCGATTTATTCTAACTTTCATTATTCACTAAAATCTTGAAAGCTCCTTTTTATTTGAACATTGAGTGCAGATACTTTATTTTCTAAACCTGGCGCGCACTGTCTTTGTTATTACATCGTTATCGATAATGAAGTCTTTGTTTTTTTTAATCTGTAATCACAAAATTGCCTACGTCACGATGTGATCTGGACCACCCGAGCAGTCGCGGCCGCCGGTCTGCGGGCCCGGGCCCGGCGATCACGACCGCGCAGCTCTGAGCTCGTGATATATCTACCCGTCAGCTAAACTTTATGCTTCACGTGACCTTTGTTTTTTACCAAGTATTCGGCGTTGACGTAATGAGGCTAGAAATCGGACCGGGGGAGTATGAGTGTCGGATTGTTAGTTGATGAATGCTACCATCGGAGCTGCTGAGATGTAGGAGATGTAGGTGACTAGTGCGTCGCGGACCTTCAAATGACGGCGTCATCTATCGACACGTCGACAGTCGAACAGTTCACTGTATTCACTTCACTAATTCTACAACAATTACAAATACACTACTATTTACCATTTTAGACACTTAATGTCCCCTTAATTAATGGTTAATTCAAATTTATATTCCATTAATTTATAATAACTATTTACATTTAAAATTGTTTATCTCCGAATAAAACTATTATTACGAAATATTTTACAAACTTTGGTGAAGTGCAGAAGTCAACTCGCACGTGTAACGTAACATTATCTATATTATGATTAACACAGGAAATAGGCAAGAGTTCATCGAGGATAGACTTTATAGAAGTAAAATCGTAGAGCCTTAAGTGATATGAAATATTAAAAAAAATAATTAATTAATGAGAATGTCAGAATGGAATGTCAACAACAAAGAACATCGCCGCGCGAACTATCGGCCCGGCGATAACAATCACAACACCTTTCATACTTATTGCACTCCTTCGGAATAATAAATTATCGCCTATCACTTATACGCGATTTAAATATACATTTACAATATTAACACATCTTTTAAATATAAATTTAACTAATTTCAATGCGGACATCGCTCGCCCGAGTGCGGGCTGGTCGCCTCCCGCCTCGTCTGACCTGGCGAAACTGAATTTTTTTCAGTATACACCGCTATCTTAAAGATTAATAAAATTCATCTTCGATCAGATATTGCACGAGATTATCCAAGTAAATACATAATATAAATCACAATAAAAATCGAGTTCGGAATACACTAACAAAACTCCAGTTTCACCGTTGCTTTATTTTTCGTAGCGTACCTAAGCGATCATACGTCCATAAATTATAAAGGTCTCGTTCCGACCACGCGATCTCGCGTCCCTTTTACTACGAAGACGTAGAACAGAGACAGTTGCTAGAGATCCAGCGGCGCCGGAGAGCGCAATATGAGTTGTAAAGGTACGGGTGCAATGTTTTAAACGTTTTAATTAATTTAAAATGGAAGAAATGGGCTTAATCCTGCCCATTGTGATGAAGAAGTGTGCGGTTGTCGGGCGGGTGTGGAGGATGCGTGGGCGCACGATACGTGTCACCCTCCTCGTCTGCAGAGTTCTCCTTTGACCGGTCGCTCTTACAGTCCTCCTCTTTTGTGACCCCTGATAGTGAATCGAGGGCCATGGGCATCGATTGATACAGTTCTCTCGCTTTCTCACTCGGCGGCAACAGATGTAGCATGTTCAGTGGCATTGGGAACCCTGGCGGGAATTCTGGGTAGAACCCTTGCTGGAACGGATTGAACATGGGATTGGAAGAGATGTCCGGCTCCGAACTCGCTGGTCTTTGGCTTGTGTTCTGATGCTGCTCATCCTTCTCGTGGTGCTTGCCGGGCGGGTGGTTATTGTTGTTATTGCCTGAATTTAAATTTAACACTTCAAGTGGACCGCCGATGCAATCTTTCCTGAGCTGCTCTAGTTTTAAACTTTTGCCGTATTTACCCCGAACATACATTAAGAGAGAGTTGTATGGGATGCCGAATATTCTTGATGCTTGGCTCGTAGTCATTTTCTTGTTCCAAACGTGTTGTAGCGCTTCCGTTAGTTCTGCATTTGTCCAGGATCGAGGCGGGCCGCCGCGCGGTGCACTGTGCTGCCCCTTCGGTCGCCCTGTCAAACAAAAACGATAAATTAGAGCTTATGTAAGTTTAGGAATACTTAATTCGCTAATTACATTACGGAAGTCGTATTCAATGATTTATGAGTGAGCGAAATGCAATCGTGGTGCAGGGTGGTGGCAGCCGGAGTGCACGACATGTGCCGTGCTCACCGCCCGCCGCCCTCGTCACAGCATTACCGAATGCACAACTATCTAATAACCGTGTTTTGGCGAAGCAATGAGTCGCTAGCGACAGTCGACACACGGCGAAATGAGCAGGTTGCGGCGACACGACGGGATTTGTCATTAATTCGAGGCGAGCACGCGATTATTAAGGCGGTTCTGTCAAAAAGAAAGCGGACATGCATACGCCGGCGACGTCGCCCCATGTAACTTTATAGTTTTATAATTTCAACGGATCACGTTAACTCGATTCCGATCAGATAATTTGAGGAACGTTTCGGATTACTGCCGGAATGATATTTTATTATGGAAATTAGTTTTCTTTTAATAGTGTTCGCGGGTCACGCGAGGGCGGCCCGCTCGCGGAAATTAAAGACGTTTTCCATTAAGTGCTCAAGCTCGTTAGCATTTTGCATGCATGTGACGACGTCTCGAGCGATGGGCGCTAATCGATCGGGACTATTGTGTACGCCGTCGTGCCGCCGGAGCTCCCGTGCCGGTACACGCCAGACCGCCAGCGCCATCGAGACGCGGTAGAGAGGCATTCATAGCATACGTCGTACGTTAGACTCGCCGTCTCTTCCCCTATGAGATACGCTATCAGATCGTCTTAATAAACATTCGCCGGGAAACAATGGCCGTTTAACATTTTGCACGATGCGATTCCAGCTCTGAGCGAGATGTGTGATGGGATGCACTCGCTATCTACCTTCTGCTAATATTGAGTCGACCTATTGTTACATGGCTTTTATCTGTTTTATAAAATGTATTTAGTTTAAAGTTATGCAAATCGTGCGCGATTTCTATTTGCATATAGATAAATATTTTGTGCAGTTAGCTCTGTTTGAATATTTAACAACAATGTTAAAGCAAATTTTATTTATGCGATTGTAAATAAGGTCGTTCTTATTTGTATAATTAAGGTTGGTAATGGAAAAAAGTAGAACCGATTAATATTCAACTAGCTAAGTTATTGTTGAATGATATTAAGTTATTTAATAGTATATAAAATAAATTAGTACTTATAAAATTATGTTTTGGTACTTTTAAAGTATAAAGGTGATATAAGAGATTTCTATATAATAGATTATTTTTCTTTTGCGGCTGCTAATAATATATAATCAGACAACATACATACTCGTATACTATGTTAATGAGATATCTCTCAGTTTCTCTAATGCAGTTTTCTAATAAAATCGATTCAGAAGTTCCTGAGATCATACTTTACAAAAAGCAACATTAAATTTTTTGATGCTTTACATATGAAAAAACTTACATTTCTTTTTGACGTTGGTAAAGAGTTGCGCGTCTAGCGGCGGCGCGCGGTGCTCGACGTCCATTAGCGGGTACATCTTGTGCTCCATGCCGGGCGGGAACAGCGCCAGTGGTGACTCCATGCCGAACACTACAACAAACATAGTACATTAATATATAGATAATTGATACTTACTTGAGATTTAAATTTAAGAGATAGTAGGTCTAAAGATCATATTCTATATTCGTTGAAGAATAGAAATCTGAAAAAAGTATATGGGAATGATAGATTATGATTTATTTAATGATGATTTATTTGTCATTTTAACACATTTTTAAATATTCTATTACAATTGTAGAATGACATCTTGTCTAAGATGCAAGGTTAGATACGGAAATAATATATAATCTACATAAAGATGACTGTTTCTATAATATGAACATAGGTAAACGCTAAGAACGGGTTTTCAAATGGTCCTTAAGGGGAGACAAAGTTTCTATTATAAACAAAATTTTCTTTTTTGGGTATCAAAGTAGATTGGCAAAGCTGGTGGAGCCTGTTGGTATTTTTTATTGACTTTTAAATTAATGTTAGCCTAAAACAGTTTTTAAATCGTAAAATAGCACATATCAATACTTGCTGGCTTTCCTAGCTTTCCTGGATAAGAGTAGGTACTTATCTCCTATTTATTCTTTATAATAATTCTACCGAATGCTTTTTAAAATACTTTGTTCAGCAGTAAGCGTAAAATTAAAGACCAGATTTTAAATTAGTCTTTCAACAATGAATACAGAGGTCAAGATAAAAATATTAAAATAATATAAAAGAATTCAATAAAGCAGCCCACCTTATTATTCCTAAACAAACTTTAATAATAATTAATCAAGGACTGCACAGCTATTTTTAAAAGAAAAATGCAGATAATTTTTAATTAAGGACTTATGAAAAGTTAAATTTATCTAAGTAGTTAAAATATACAATATTCATAGATATATTTTATCTTTTGTTAATTAGAAATATTTAACCTAATTAAAGCAAAATCATAACAATGATTAGTTATTTAAAACGTGATAATAAATTATTCAAATTATTGAATCTAAATAATTGATTTAAGTTAATGTTTTGCACTAAATTGTTTGCAATTGTCATAATTTAATATCACACGAACTTATAATATATAGTTTTACTATTCGACAATAGATGGCGCTAGGAGTACGTAGAACTCCAAAAGGAAGGAGTAATATATGGGCTCAAATAAGTTTTATTATTTTATATAGATTTTTAGTACTACATGATTATAATTTATTTTTAGTGTAATAAAATTAGTAAAGATTACTTCAATAAGTGTACTTGATATAACTACCATATTGATGACTTATTTTAAAAACTTATAAGGTGTGTAAACCTGTATATGTATAAAGTAGGTTTATAAAAATGAGATAAATTATAAAGTTTTATAGTGATTAATACAAATATATCTAAGTGTTAGTGTCTCTAGAAAGTATCTTAGCAATAATAAATGGCGGATTACAGTGGATGTGGTCGTAGATGTAAATAGCGGGAGGTGTCGTCCGTTGAACCAAACGCGACTAATCGATAGCGCTGCTTTATTACTATTCTATCTTATTTCTTACTCTGCTTTTATACTTCAATGAAGTGAATGAGTCTGTCTGAACGTTAAAGGCGTATAGTTATATATATATTGTATTGGTATAAATGATGTATTTGAGAGCAAATTGAATTTTTATGTTTTCTCGTTACACAAATGAGAAGTAGGATTGGCTTCTATGTCGGAGGTCGAGGGTTTGACATCTGCGCGTGCTAATTGTGTTTATAAGTCATACAAAGTTTCATTCAGACGATACTAAATATAATATTATATATAATATAATATTATTTTGAAAACTACTGAATACTCATACGTATACTACAGTTTTATAATGACTTATAATATATCAAAATTATAATATTTTTCCATATCCATCTAGATCAAAATGAGGATATTTTATGAAAAATGGGTTTCTATTGTTTTAATGTAGGTCATTCTGTATAACTCTCTCAAAAATAACTTTACAAAGCTTTAGACCGTTTATATACATTTACCGTAAGCTGTTCACTCACCTGAGCTTGGTATCTATTTTGTAACAGATGTAAATAAGGAGATGTCTGAACCAAAGCTAGAAAGCGACTAATCGATAAGTCCAATTTATAGTTTATTGTAAGGACCGGTACTAGAAACGTAAGATTAAACTTGTTTATAATAAGTTAATACTCTATGTGTTTTAAAATTAAATCATTGGTGTACCTACGGAAGCTGCAATCGATTATATTTAAGTTTTAAATAATAATAGAGCTTCTGTTGTGAGGTTGTTAGCTATAATTTATAGTCAGTGAAAGTGTTTTTACTACTGTCTTAACAAATATTTCAGGCTCGTATTTCGCATAACTGTTTTATAGTTGGTACCTTCGTTAAAAGTACCGCATTTTGTTTATTCCATTATTACAAGAATTGATTTCCAAGAAAGTGAATTCGATTACAATTTTGCTGTTTTATTTGTTGTGCAATATTTTTAGCTCTTTTTTAGCATTGGGAAATGCATTCACGCATACCACCTGCATGCATAAAGGTTATGTGGGACTCACCGGGTAAAAAGCCAGTATTACCCACTAAAACGTAACAGAACCTCGCCCGTCGTATTGGGCAATTTTTTAGCCTATTTTGATATTATTGCAGATTTTTGTTTTCAATATTTTTGAAATTTTAAAACCAATTTGTAAAATCTTATAAGTAAGAGTTAACAAACGCAAGATAATATGAAACATGCATCTGATTTCGTTAATACTTATCACACCACCCACAATGTCCGCTTTGCCTATATTTCCTATTGGCAGGTTGTAATTTACTAGTTTTGCACGCGGTTGCGCCCGTAACCACAGCCTGGCAAGTGTCGTAAGAATAAACGTATGCTGCCACATCTCAGGGTTGCCAACTTTCATAAAAAATCCAATTTGTGTTAAACTGAGGATTATTATAATCAAATAATATTATAAAACTTCTAAATGAACAATAATAGAAATAGAATAACTTAATTAAATCTTTGAATAAAAGAGTAATAATTTATATAGGTAGGTACTCTCATTTTGTGTTCATTCCATGTATATTATTTTTTAAAAAGAAAATTGACGTTTATTATTAAGTTTTTATTTGAGTACATGTAACCTGTCTTTAGCACTGTTAACATCCCATTTTCTTTTCTATAAAGCAGCCTAACCACTTGTCCTGTCTACAGGTTTTAACCTGGACAGTTGGCAGCCCTGTAAGGGGATCTAATATCCCATATAATTAGTGCGTGTTATGAAATGCTTCCTGGCTTCTGTATAATCAGCGGCTAGGAAGGGTTATGTGTATGGGTAATACTATGTTATTAACAATGTAAGATCTACATCTACTGCGCTAGCTAGGCTACCAGGTCAATTGGCTGTCCGTATGTTTATTTTATTATAACCAGTCGTCCAGTGGTCGAAATTCAAAACCATTTTTTTATTGATAACACTAAAGCTTGTTATATACTAAACAAAATAATTAAATAAATAATATCGCGAACATAAACAAACAGACGGGTAAAAGATACTGAATTGTTTTGTCTTTGCCTATTATTTAGAAGAAGATTTTTTTCATATAGATAATATGTGGAATTTAAGAAGTTTAATAAAATAGTATATTGGATAGCGTTTAGAACTAGCACATCGGTATTCGATCAGTTTGAGGTATATATTTTTATTTCTACCTACACGTTATTGATTTATTATATACTCGTACTTTAAACAAGCAATAGAAGAAACGGGTAGTGAGATATGCAGTCCTCGCCGTTGGTTTCGCATTGGTTTCATAGTACATTCAAATGAATATACAAACATAATGCTAAATGCTTGCAGCATTTTCTTCATTACTTTTAACGGTTTTAATAATCGCGAAACTTAACTACACATTATTATACAATGTAATAAAATATAAAAAAAAACATAAAACGAGATATTTACGAAGACTTTAAATGAAGTGATAAAATGAAATATGATTTTTGTTTCTGCTTGTTTGAAGCAGTCGTTCAGTTTTATTTGCAATTATAATGATATATATTAAAAATCTTTTAATATATTGATAACTCAATTATAGGTGTACTTTATTATTTAAAAGTGATCATAAACACGTTATAGTGTCTTAAATTCTGCATTGTTTTAGTACCAATAAATTATTTGCAGCAGCAATATCGGTTGATGTAGGTGAAAGTTTCGACACGCAAAATTGTAACGTATGTATATATAGCTTTATCGGCTTGTAGGATTGTTGCCGTTTTACTCCTATTCAGGTAGGTATTTATTTTGGATATTTGCCTATTTTCAATCCCCTGCCTGTTTAACTGTCTGTCTTCGTGTGTGTGTGTGTCTGTCTGTCTGTGGCATCGTAGCTTTCAAAGGATGGACCGATTTCGATGCGTTTTTCTTCATTTGAAAGCCAGTTTCCTTACGGTGGTTCTTAGCTATGTTTGCTTCTTAACTATATTTGCAATATCGGTCCAGTAGTGTAAGAGTATATATATATATATAGCTCTTTTCCAAAATGATGTAAGGCATTTTGGCGTATGATTACTCGATTAAGTGCTTCACGCGTGCCAGTGTTATCGTTAAATGACAATTAATTTGCGTAGGGGGTTTTTTAAAATTTTTAATTTATAATTATTAGATATTTGGTGCTACTTACATATTATATTATTCCGACTCTAAAAAAAGAGGTAGCTACACAATTTGGATATATGGTTTGGTATGTACCTAACTACGTTACATATAAATAAATGACATCACTCTATAACATATAGCGATATTTTTGCGACTAAAGCTATATGTTGCCATATAAATAAAAATCACTAAGGGTAGAATAAATTATGGATTTTTTTGATGCCGTTGTATTTTTTTAAGTAAAAAGTTATTATTTGTTTTTTTAAACTTATGTAAGTAGGTATTGTTGAATTTTGAAATACTGAAAAAACTTCTTTTTCGTATTTAATTAGAAATAATGTTTTTTTAGTAGTTACAACATTTATTATTCTTAATATGAATAACTTAATACTTTCTTATATTTAAAAATATAGATA